CACATTTGGTGTCAGAAGTGTTCTGAGAGTGGCGCCTGGGTGGCTCAGTGGGTTAAAGCCTCTGCCTTCGGCTCAAGTCAGGATCCCAGAGTTCTGGAATCAAGCCCCACATGGGGCTCTCTGCTCGGCAGGGGCCTGCTTCCTCCTCTCTCTCTGCCTGCCTCTCTGCCTAGTGATCTCTGTCTGTTAAATAAAATCTTTTTTTTTTTTTTTAAGTGATCTGAGTAAAAAGAGTTCATTCGTGACTTAGATCAGGCGCTCTATTGATTGGAAGTTGATGATGGAAATTGATGTTTGTTGAGTGAATGTATGCACTGCAGAGCTCAAAGGGGAGCTAGACCCACGGACTCACAATACTGTCCCAGTCTTCTCAACTGTTCTCTGTGCCTTTGCTCTGTGGCCTTGCCCTCTCGAGGTGAGGTGAGCGTCAAGGGAGCTGTTCATTTCATCCCAAATCCCCAAACCGAGTATCCATGGCCTGCCCGGGGCCAAAGTGATGGAACGTGCTGATTGGCTGGCTGAGACCACGTGACAGAATCTGGTTTCGGGACAGAAATCTGAGAGGTGGGCTGGCTCCAGAGGAAATTTGTGTGTTCTTTCCTGCAATGGGAGGTGATTGCAGCAATAGCAAACACAGCCCCTGCTCAGTTTAGCTTCCTCAAAATCCCCCCTGCCCCCCCTAAGAATGATGGATAGATTAGATAAACCACCATTTTGCAATCTCCAATGAAAGAACTGATTCAGGTGGTTGTGGTCATTGGATGAAGCCCTTGGATTGTTTCTCAGCAGCGGCCACGTCCCGCCCTTAGAATCTTCTGGGTGAATGTCAGAGTCCCCAGACCCATTTTGTGAAAGTTCCCAGAGGGCTGAGAACCAGTGACTTACAAGAAATATGGGGAAAGGAGGAAGAAGATAAAGGATTCACAGTAGAAGCAAGGAGTAAATCCACACTCTTTTGTTGTTGTTGTTGTTTTAAGGTTTTATTTATTTATTTGAGAGAGAATGAGAGGACAAAAAGGAGGAGCAGCAGAGGAAGGAGAAGCGGGCCCCCCGCTGAGCGGGAGCCTGATGTGGGACTCAATCCTGGGACCATGACCTGAGCCAAGGCAGAGGCTTTAACCCACTGAGCCACCCAGGCGCGCGCGGGTCTCCTTCTGTAACAAAGGTTGGTGGGCTTGGAGAAGAGGAAGAACCCAGAGCAGTGTTTTTCTGAGCAAGTTCTGGCAGCATTGCCTGAGCAGTCATTTGGAATTCAGATTCCCAGGCCCCACTCCAGATCTCCAGTCAGAAGCCCTGGGGGTGCAGCCCCCCCAGCATCTGTGCTTTCACAGAACATTCAGAGGATTCTAATGCATGCTCTAATTTGAGAACTACTGGATTAGAATAAAAGGGATTTAGGAGACATGACAAGCAAACATGATTTGTGGACTTTATTTGGATCCAATGCAAAGAAACCAAATGTGTTAAGTCCTGGGAATGTAACGTACAACATGGTGACTATAGTTAATAATACTGTATTACATATTTGAAAGTTACCAAGAGAGCAGATATTAAAAGTTCTCATCAGGGGCGCCTGGGTGGCTCAGTGGGTTAAGCCGCTGCCTTCGGCTCGGGTCATGATCTCGGAGTCCTGGGATCGAGCCCCGCATCGGGCTCTCTGCTCAGCAGGGAGCCTGCTTCCTCCTCTCTCTCTGCCTGCCTCTCTGCCTGCTTGTGATCTCTCTATCAAATAAATAAATAAAATCTTTAAAAAAAAAATTTTTTTTAAAAAAAATAAAAAAAATAAAAAAAAAAAAAGTTCTCATCAAAAGAAAAGAAATTTAGGGGTGCCTGGGTGGCTCAGTGAGTTAAACCTCTGCCTTTGGCTCAGGTCATGATCCCAGGACCCTGGGATCGAGCCCCGCATCAGGCTCTCTGCTCAGCGGGGAGCTTGCTTCCCCCTCTCTCTCTGCCTGCCTCTGCCTACTTGTGATCTCTCTCTGTGTGTTAAATAAATAAAATCTTTTAAAAAAAAAAACAGAAAAAGAAAAAAAATTAACTATGTATGGTGATGTTCATTAGACTTATTGTGCAATCGTTGGGCAATGGCTGTGGTTCAGATCATGTTGGACACCTGAAACAAATATGTTCATGTCAATTCTGTCTCGATATAAACAAACAAAATACCAAGTAATCAATGGAAAAAGACATTTTTGAGCTCATCAGGAAAACTTGATGGTGGCATGTGTGTTTCGTGGTAATAAGGAACGGTTGTTAATTCTCTAAGGTGTTGCCTTGGTTCATTTGTGTGACTTACAAACAACAGACACTTCTTTCAGTTCCATAGGCTGGGAAGTTCAAGATCAAGGCGCCAGCAAATTCAGTGTCTGGTGAAGACCAGTGTCCTGGGTCACAGATGGCTGGGTTTTTCTGCAGTGTCCTCAGCAGCAAAGAAGCTCTCTCTGGTGTCTCTTTTATAAGATACTAACCACTGGTGAGGGCTCAGCCTTCATGACCCAGTCACCTCCCAGAGGCCCCACCTCCCAAGACTATCACACTGGGGATTCGTTTTCAACATAGGAATTTGGGGCAGGGGGACACAAACATATAGTCAAGGTGTGATGATAGTATTGGGGTTGACACAGTTGTATACATTTTTAGAGATCTCTGTGTACTGAAGTATGAGGGGCAAAATGACATTGTCTGGGATTGGTCTGTAAATACTTCATCAAGGGGAAAAAGGCAATCATGAAACAAACATGTCAGATGCTATGTGATTGTTGAATCTGGGTGATGGGTATATAGGAGTTTCTTTGGCAAGTTCTTTTGTTTTTGTTTTGTGGTGTGAATGCTTTGGGGTGTTTTCCCCCACAAATTTACAAAAACAAGACAATTGCATGAGAAAGGAGGCCGTATCATCCCATTTGGGTACTTAGGACTAAAACCATTACTAGGGGCGTAAAAAATAAAATGAAGGGAAAAGGAGTCAGGAGGGGCACCCGGGTGGCTCAGTGGGTTAAGCCTCTGCCTTCGGCTCAGGTCATGATCCCAGGGTCCTGGGATCGAGCCCCACATCGGGCTCTCTGCTCAGCGAGGAGCCTGCTTCCCCCCTCTCTCTCTGCCTGCCTCTCTGCCTACTTGTGATCTCTGTCAAATAAATAAATAAAATCTAAAAAAAAAAAAAAAAAAAGGAGTCCGGATAACAGGGCTTTCCAGAATCTTTTATTACCAATCTTCCTTCCAAAAGCAGTGAGGGACACAGAGAAATAATAATGAGACAGAATCTCTAGCAGTCAGGTAAGTCAGGTGTCCCGTCATCCCCCCAGCTCTGGCAGCCTTGTTTGATAAATAGCATCGACGTGGCAAGAATTCCTGGCAGCTGAAATGGAAGAAAGAAATATTGAACCAACCCAAAGGACCTCCCGAACCCAAAGCAATTTGGATAGACTGAGAGGGGGACTGGAGCATCTTCTCCAGAAAGTGAAAGGCAGGGTTTTACCGAGAGCCAAAACTCCCCCCACCCCCATAGTCAGGCTAGAGTCACTTTGAACCTGTTTCCCCAATCAATCTCAGTCGTGAGCAGACTTTTTTCATTTTCCCTTTGTTTCCCACAGATCTTATCAACACCCTCTTCGGCCCTACCATGGGTCCTGAGAACTACATTTCCCAGAAACCCCTGCGATTCACTTCCGGTTAGGTTTTCCCAATAGTAAACACCTGCAGGAGATGAGATTGGAGGAAAAGTTGGAGTATTTCTTCCCGGCTGCTTCCTCTCTCTACTGTCCGTCCAGAGCTCTTCGAGAGGGCAGCTGCGGGCATATGACCTCTCTTCCTTGGCTCTTGCTTTCCCCACCTTCAGGCCCAGGAGAAGTAAAATCTCCCTGTGTTGCTAGCCTCTGGGCACCTCACAGTTCGGCAAGGAAACCCCTGAAAACTTAAAAGGACCACCTGGGGGCTGCATTCTGTTTCTTGCTGGGATCTTGACTATTATGATCTCCTTGAGGAAGAGAGTGTGGTATAGTTTGCAAACATATATTCAGTATAAATTTGTACGGTGAAAAAAAAAATACCCATTTTTAAAATAACAGATCAGGGGCACCTGGGTGGCTCAGTGGGTTAAAGCCTCCGCCTTCAGCTCAGGTCATGATCCCAGGGTCCTGGGATGGAGCCCCACATCGGGCTATCTGCTGGGCAGGGAGCCTACTCCTCTTCCTCTCTCTGCCTGTCTCTCTGCCTACTTGTGATCTCTTTCTCTGTCAAATAAATAAAAAAAAAATCTTTAAATGAAGTAGGAAAAGGAAATTCAGTCCTGGGATGGAGCTCCGGAGCTCAGTGTGGATTCTTGGGGTTCTTCCTCTCCCTCTGCCCCTTCCCCTGCTCATGCTCTCTAACTCTCTCAAAAGTTAAAAAAAAAAAAAAACCCAAAAAACAAAAACCACTTATCACTACCATACAGTAAATTGCCCAATTGAAAAAATCATGTTTCTTGCCTTTCGCTGCTGATTAGAATGCCCATGAGGGCAGAGATTTTTGCCTGTGGAGTTCATTGTTGTATCTGCTCTGCCTACAACAACACCTGTGAAAGGAGGTGCTCAGTAAGGTTTGTGGAGTGAAAAAGTGAATGTTAAAACTCTTCTAATGGTTTTCCATCCTACTCAGAATAAATGTCAAACCCCTCTCTGCACCCTACAAGGTCTTTTATGATCTACCTTATCAGTTCTCTGCCCTCATCTCCCCCTACCCCTCTTCTCACTTACCCTGCCCCAGCTACAGGGGCCTCCCCCCTGGTCCAAAATAAGCCAAGTGTATTGCTACCTCATGGCCTTTGCACTAGCTGTTTCCTCCAGGTTCTCCCAGATATGCACATGGTTATCCTTCATCTCCTCAGGTCAGTGGTCAAATGTCACCTCCTCAAGGAAGTCCTCCCTGATTCCCTTCCCGATCGTGTCACCCTGCTTTACTCCCTTCCCAGAAGGAATCTTTAACTGAAACGATCATCCATCCCCCATGCCCACTTGAATGGCAGAAATCCCCAGGGGCCAGAACAGTGCTTGGCACATAGTAGGTGCTCAGTAAAAGAGCTCAGTGTGTTCCAAAGGTCCTAGACCTTACCTGTATCACTGCTGCCTCCAGTGAGCCCCCACTCAAGCTGAAGCTCAGAGTCTTGGTTATTGTCTAGACCTTGAGGGAACAGCCCTGAGGGTACAAATATCAAAGCAGGCAGGACCTGGCTAAGGGCTTCTGGACTCCCAAGTTCCCATCAGCCCCACCCCTTGGGCCAATGAAATTCCTCTCAGATTCAGGCAGGAGAAGGGGACAAAGCCACAAGGATCTTGGCTCCTTCTCACTTGACTGCTTCCCCTATCCCAGCATCTTCCCTGGCCTCCTTGTTCCCTCGCCTCACCCAGAACATACACTTACTCCCCAGTATCTATCTGTTGTGACCTCCAAGTGTGGTGAATAAGAGTATGACCAGATGCCCCAAGTTATTGCTAGCTATGTGACCCTGGAGAAGTCACACATCACTCTGTGCCTCAGTTTCCCCAACTGTAAACGGGACCCACTGGATCTCCCACCCAAGATTTTTGAGAGGATCAATAGAAAAAAATCTACATGAAGTACATAACAGTGGTCTGAGAGCCAGTATTCAGTGGCTGTTAGTTATTTCTGGGTGCTCTTTACATATGAACAGAAAGGCTAACATGTATCTAGCACCTTCTCAGCTATTTACATGTGTTTTCTCACTTATTTATCACTCTAACCTCATGAGGTGGGTACTATTCCTTTTTCTGTTTTGTGGGTGAAGAGTCAGTTTCAGAGAAATTAAGAGACCAGACACAGTGGGTGGGGCGATGGGGCCTCCACTTCCCCCCCTGCAGTCACAAACATGCTCCCCTTTCTAGGCCCCTGGCAATTCTTGGTTCTGGAAGCTTGAGTTGCCTTGAGCTTGACGGGGTTCAATGCCCCCTTTACTTAATATGCATTGATTAAGTGTCTCCTGTGAGCTAAGCACTAGGAACCCAGCAATGTACAAAATAGATACAATTCCTGCCTTGGTGGGGCTACCATTTGAGTGGTGAGCACAGGTAATAAAACAGCGATAATAGCACTGTCAGGTGGTGAGTAAGCGCTGGGAAACTTTCTGTGCCTCAGTCTCCTCATCTATAAAATGGGAGAAAAGCACTCCCCACCTCATGATATGCAAAGGGGACGGGATTCACCAAGTGAACGTCTGGCCCTGTGGGAGCTATTACTCTCCCAAAATGATCATTGTTCATCATTATTACTATATTTTAAGCCCTCTGTAAGGCAGGCAGTGTAGCCCAGGGAACAGACTCAGGCCAAAGCCACCTAAACCGACATTGAACTGTCCCCTCCCTGAACCTCAGTTTCCCCTTAGGAGACATGAAGACGGGAACACTGAGCCCCCAAGGCTGTGTAGTCAGAATGAAGTGAACACCCAATGACGGTTGTTCTCTTTAGCTCTTGACCCCTCTCGCTGGGGTTCCGGCAAATACGCAATTTTTCTAAAAGTCACCAGCCCTTGGGGTCTACCTAGATGATACCCAACAAAGTCTCGAGTTACCTCCTCGTGGGTGATGTCTGTGGACACGTTGTGCCCGTCACAGGCTATGGTCCTGATGGATTTACCACGGCTCCTGGGGCAGGAGTAACCAACCAGTTGTCATTTCAAAGGAGAAGACGGAAAGATCTGTGTAGTTCTTCTCCCCACGGCACTTCCACTGCAGAGAGGAGAATAATCACTTGAAAACTCCCTTTCAAATATCAAAATAATAAAAAACAATAGAAATCACGGTCACCATGGCTACTGTCTAGAGCAATCATGCTATTCTGGGGCTTGTGCCGAAAGCCTCCCTTACTCGAGCCCATCATGGCTCAGAACCCTTCATGGCTGTCATCTTACTTGGGGTAAAAGCAGAATGCCTCACCATGGCCTCCAAGGCCCGGCACGATCGGCCTGCCCAGTCGCCCCTAGGCCTTCATCTGCCCCCACCCTCCCTCTTACTCACTCAGCTCCAGTCACACTGGTTCCCTCACTCTGTCCCCAGAGCCCTGAATAGTGCCCAGCACACAGTAGGTGCTCACTAAAGATTAGCAGAAAGGCTGTAAGAATGAATGAAACATGTTCTCCACCATCTCAAGCCTCAGCGGCCAAAACTGGGATGCCAGAAGCCCCCTACCCATCGTGGGCTGCCTCCCAAGCCTGCCCATGACCCCGCAGCATTCCTGCACCCAAAACTCAGAGGTGAAACAATCCTAGAGACAGACAATGCTTTTTCCTTCCAAACTCTCCCTGGCTCCAGGAGCCCCTTCTAAACTACCTGCCTCAGGAGCTTCCGATGACATAGGCAGGCAGGTCCTGCTCCTTAAACACCAAGACTCAAGAAGTAAACGCTGCCGCCTTCCATCCCCGGGGGATGGTTATTAAAAAAAAAAGAGAGAGTGGGGGGCACCTGCATGACTCAGTGGGTTAAGCCTCTGCCTCTCTGTCAAATAAATGAATGAATAAATCTTTTTTTTAAAAAGATTTTATTTGTTTATTTGACAGGCAGAGATCACAAGCAGGCAGAGAGGCAGGCAGAGAGAGAGGAGGAAGCAGGCTCCCTGCTGAGCAGAGAGCCCGACGCGGGGCTCGATCCCAGGACCCTGAGATCATGACCTGAGCCGAAGGCAGAGGCTTTAACCCACTGAGCCACCCAGGTGCCCCAAATAAATAAATAATCTTAAAAAAAAAAAAAAAGAATGCCAGTTTATGTGAGGGGTCTTGTATCATGATAACACACCCGGGATGTGGATGGAGCTCACCTTCTCCGTGACCAAGTCCCATTCTGTGGAGCAGTCATCTGGCTCATCGTAACCTCTGTAATTCTTCCTCAGGGTCGCGAAGATGTGCTCCAAGGCCATTTCTTGAACCTCATAGATGAAACTGGAAGTGATGGTCCCACAAAACAGCAAGGTGCCCCCTGTGGGGAGGTTTCCTGGGGACAGAGCAGGTGGGTGGGGTTCCCCTTCTGCTTTCTTTCTTTTAAGACTTTATTTATATCAGAGAGAGAGAAAGAGAGAGAATGGGTCGGGGGAGGGGCAGAGCGAGAAGGATCAGCAGACTCCCCAATGTGGGGCTCGAACTCGGGAGCCTGAGATCCTGACCTGAGCCCAAGGCAGATGCTTAACCACTTAACCAAGTGAAGCACCCAGGTGCCCTCCCTTCTGCTTTCTTTTACTTCTTTCACAATCCCCCTCTCCCGCCCCCAGCTATGAGTCTGCACTGGAGGAGGACAAATTCTGGCTGCCATCACCCCCGAGAGAGGGACATGGGGAAGAGCGTGGGTCTCGAGCTCCGTGCATCTGGTCGTACCCACCACAAACTTGAATCATCTGCTCTTCTGAATCACCCACATGCCTGCTCCGCCCCCCCCATTTGGCTGGAACGCAATTAAAGATTTGCAGATCATCTTTAGCAACTGAATCAATCACTGCACAAAAGGGGCAAATTTCATGTTCTATTTTTTAAATCAAGGTCTAAATTAAAAAGTTTTCTGGATGAGGTAAATAGTCACATGGGTTCCAAATCCACAAAGCACAGAGGGGTAGACGGCGGAAAGTCTCCCTCCCACCTTTTTCTCCCAGCCAACGAGTTCCTCCCACTCCACTACGGGGATGGTGACTGTTTCCTGTGTCCCCAAAGAGATATTTGATGTGTGTCAAAGCAAAGCGTAGTCTCATTATTCTTCTCCCTGCTTTATCCTATTCTCGTGGTTCCGCGTCTGGCTATTGTTAGCAAGACTAGCAGTGGCTCCTGGTGCCAGTGGGATTTGTCATTTCTGGGCACATGGGTCTGGCTTCCCGCTGCCAGCAGCCAAGGGCTCCCTGTGGCCTCTCAGCCCACGTGTGCCCTCAAGCAACACTGATGGGCCATGAATCAGTACTGCAGCTCACTCGCCAGTCGAGTGGGAAAACAGCCCCCTGTTCAGTGCTGCTCCCAGATGCCCCCCTCCCCCCACAGGGCTGAGCCCAACTGCCTGCAGGGTCGTCCTTTATGGGCAGCGTTCCCTTCCCTGCCTCACTTCCCCCGTCCCTCCAGGTCCCTCTTGGGATCCCCTCTCAACTAATCCAAGAACATCAGTATAAATGAACCACCCTTCTACTGATGCTTACAATCTTCTGCCTATCCTGGTATATACCTCCTTCTGGGCCCCAGCGAGCAAATCCTTGGATGATTTCTAGGGATGGGATAGCTGGGTCAAAGCATCCGTGCTTTGTCATTTTGGCGGGTTTGGCTCAACAGCCCTCTGCTTCTGACACCTTTCAAAACCCCAGCAGCTTTCACAGCTTTGCCCAGTGCTTCGCCACCAAGCGCCAGGGAGATGGTGAATGAAATTAACTCGGCCCGTTTCCTGGACCTCTTGAGGGGACGGCGGAGTGTTTTGGTTCTTCGCCCCATGTCTGGAGACCCAATCTCCAGCCCCAGGGACCCATGGGCCAGGTATCACCCCATGGATGGCTCCTGGGGGGAGGTGAAGTGCTTCTATCAATTGGATTTCTTTCTAATGGTGGGGTGGGAACAGCGGCCAATGTGGAACAATGTGGAATAGGGCAAGGACCACAGCGACAACTATGATGTCAACAATGAGAATGGTAACCGTGGACAGGAGACACTGGAAGACACAGAGGGGCTGGAGGAGGCTGGAAACCTGCTCAGCCAGTGTCCCTGCAGGGGTGGGGACTGTCCCTCCCCCAACCCCAGGCCTTGGGCCTCTTCTGTTTGTAAGAATTCAGCCCCCAGTGTGATGTGGAGCTGCTTTCTTTCATGGGGCGTTTTCCTGCATGTCGTGCAGGATGCTGGCACCGAGGTGTTCTTGGAGCCACTAGCTGGAGCTCCATTTCATGTCCTGCATTTTCTGGGCACCAGGGAGACCCTAGGAGGGGACCTCCAGGTCAGTAAAGGCTCTGCGCATTGACAGCCGGCACCCGTGGTGATACAGGAGGGTCGGTGGAAAGGACAGAATGGAGACAGGAGGAGAGGAGGAGAAGCAGGTGAGAACTCTTGCAAATGGGGGGAGGTGCTGGAGGGAAGATGCTGGGTGAGAGGTCGGTGGCTGCAGGGTTGGTGGGGAGGCAGAAGGAACTTACGTTTGCTGACCTATGTTTCAGACAAAATTCACAAGCCCCATGGTAAACGATGAGAAAGACAGCCAGCAGAGGGGATGTCTTGAAGTCACCCATCAAGAACCTGCTGCTCAGTCTGGGCCTCAGTTTCCCCGTAGATACAATGTGAGCATGGGACCAGCTCAAGGGGCATCAGTAAGTTCTGGAGATTGTCTGGAGGCCAGATGGGGGCAAAGCAGGTCAGCTCCTGGCTCTCCTTTCATCTAGTTGATTATGATTATTAAAATCTCTTTGCTGGGTCACCTGGGTGGCTCAGTGGGTTAAAGCCTCTGCCTTTGGCTCGGGTCATGATCCCAGGGTCCTGGGATCGAGCCCCGCATCGGGCTCTCTGCTGAGCAGAGAGCCTGTTTCCCCCCGCCCTCTGTCTGCCTCCCTGACTACTTGTGATCTCTCTGTCAAATAAATAAAAATAAACTCTTAAAAAAAAAATCTCTTTGCTAATTGAGGCTCTGAGTTGCCAGACCATCCCATGGCTGGGCTTATCTAGTCCTGATATGGAAAGGCAGGAACACGCCGTGGATACACACCTGGCGACGCCAGGGCCCACAAGGACAAACATGGGTGCAGGGCTTAGCAGTTGTGGGACCCCCGACAAGTGGTTCATGTAATAGATTGTGGGGATTAATATTAATATTACTACCTCCCTGCCTCTAGGTGACCAAAATGGCTGGATAGATATCCAGGAGTCCATATGGCCTACAGGTCTCGTCTTCAGAATCTGTCCCTAACCTGCCCACTTCTTCCCGGCTTCACAGCCTCACTCGGCCCAGCCCCCACTGTCTTCCACCTAGACCAGCACAGTCCCTCCACCCTGGTCTCTCAGTCGGGCCCTCGTCCCCCACACTCTGTTCCCCCCAATGACCACCAGAGGGCGCTTGTGAGCCCCTGAGTCCCCGCGCGAACCTCCTGTGCTCAGAATCCTCTGTGGCTCCCAAAACCATAAAAAACAATTTTGCTTTTCTGAATGAGTTCTCAGAGACTTTGGAGGGACAGATGTAAAGGGTAAAATCGATCAGATTCTCTGGTGGGCTGGACGTAGGGGGTGAGGACTCTTTGATTCCTCCAAGCTAAACTATGGATAAAATAGCTTCCACATCTTATTGAAAATGAAATGGAATTTTTCAGGCACAGGACCTGTCCAATAAATATTTGCTGAGTGGAGTAATTAAGAAAGAAAACGAGATGATAAAGCTTCAGGGAGAAGGAGGGTGGGGGCAGGGTGCTTTTAACAGTGAAGGTTGTTTATGCTCTGAAAGGTGACCCCACTAAGGATCTCCCTGAAACCTCAAATTGAAATAACCAGAGTTTTACAGTAACACAATAAGAAAGGAAAACAAAAAATGCTGGAGACAAATTTTACCTAAAGTGGGATAATCCACTCAGACAAAATTCTAAGGGAAATGGGAATGGGGAAGTTGGGAGCTGGCCTTTGGGGAGTTAGCCATGGCTATATGTGAGAATAAGCAAGATGCATAAAATCGGCAACATGCTGTCTGCTTGTTCATGCTCCAAACTTTCATATCTCATGTACTTGAACATGTGCTAATGCAGACACGATGATAGCAACAGTGTTGTGTTAGTGGGAACACATACACATGAGCCAATTGAACAGAGCAGTGTGCCCAGGAAAGACCCAAGGATAATGGAAATTAGTGTAGGCAGGAGAGGACTGACCCCTACCTCACACCACACACACATAAGGAAACTCCCAAAAGCAAAAGAGCTCAAAGTGAGAAATCAAGACTTCCAATTATGGGAAGAAAACCTGGGAGACTATAATGTTATGGCCTGGAGTAGGGGAGGAGTTCTAAGCAAGATATATTATGAAGGAAAAGATGGATGGATCTGATGCCATCCTATGAGACGCCACAAGCACTGAAAAATAGGGGATGCTGATGGCAGGGGTTTGTAATTAGTGCAAGGAAGGATTCACCTGGGGGTGGGGTGGGAGTTTGGGGGGATGGGTGCAGATCCAACTTATAAACAAGAAAGTGCCTCTATTTTATCTGGCTGCTCCATACCACCCAACAAAGCCAAGCAGCACCGTGAGGCAGCCCACTGCCGGGCACAGACAGCCAGTGTTAAGGAGATATGTAGAGGATAGCCCAAGGACCCTTGCCAGGACAGCCTCTCTGAATTTGACATAGATGCCCAGGCCAATGAGGATCACACCAGACATCTTTAGGACAGAAATCAGACAGGAAAAGATAGTCTGTTAGTTGTATACAAATAGAACTCTCCCAGGGTGTGCAGGGGGTTGGGGTGGGAGGGGAAGAGCAAAGGCCAATAAAATCAGCAAAAACATTAAAAAATATTAATACCCAGAGCTAGTGAGGATGTGGAGAGACATTCTTATATACTGTTGCCAGAAAACAAGCTTTTTAAAGGGGGAGGGCATGCGGGAGGACACTTTGCAATTCATATTTAAAATCTTAAAGATTTTACAATAAAACTCTTTACCTAGAATTTACATTTGTAGATATTCAGCATAATATCTGATATCCTCATAGACACATGCATACATACCTCAGCATTAGAATGCTCAGGGAGGAAACTACCTGAAGCAATCAATAATACAGATTGGGTAGGTAAATCATGGCACAACCATGCAATGGGACTCTAGACAGTTATTTCAAACAATGCTCTAGGACAAGGGTTGGCAATCTGTGTGTGTGTGTGTGTGTGTGTGTGTGTGTACGCACGGGTGCGCGCAAAGCCCCAGATATTGTGAGTTTTGGATGCCATAAGGCCTCTGTTGAAACAACTCAGCTCTGACAGTGTAGCTTAAAGACAGCCATGCACAATTCATAAACAAATACATTTCATTTACAAATAAATAATATCCATCTATCCATTTATCTCTCTATTTACAAGGTAGTTGTCTGACCCTTATTGTCGGAGGAGAATGTTTACCAATATGGCAGTCATGCTCTTTGGTATTTATGCAACTGAGCTGAAAACTAATGTTTACACAAAAGCCTCGCATGGAAGTTTCCAGAAGCTTTATTCATCATTGCCAAAACTGGAAAGCAACCAAGACAGCCTTCAGCAGGTGAATGGATAAACTGTGGTACATTCAAGGGACTATTAGCACTAAAAAGAAATGAGCCATCAAGCCATGAAAATATATGAAGGAAACTCACAACCATATTGCTGAATGAGAGAAGCCCATCTGAAAAGCTTACGCGGTGTACGATCCCAAGTATAGGTCATTCTGGAAAAGGCAGAACTATGGAGACAGTAGAGGACCAGTGGTCACCAGGGGTGAGTGGGGAGGTAGGGAAGACGGGTGGAGCACAGAGCACCATTATATGGTGAACTACTCCATAAATACTAAAATGGTGGATTCGTTGTCAAAAGCCATAGAATGTACAACACTAAGAGTGAACCCTAATGAAAATTATGCATTCTGGGTGATGATAATGCCCATGGAAGTTCATTGATTGACTTGTAGCAAATTTACTGCTCCGGGGGGAGTGTTGCTGATGGGGGAGGCTGTGCATGTGTGGAACAGGGGTATATGGGAAATCTCAGTACCTTCTGCTCAATTGTGCTGTGACCCTAAAACTGCCCTAAAAATGAAATCTATCCAAAAGGAGGGGAAGTTAAATTTTTTTAAAGGGAAAAAGTGGATTGTAAAGCAATAGCTTTCCCGTGTTCATTTTACTGTTTTTAAAAGGTATATAGAAAAAAATCTGGAAGGGTGTGAAAGTGGTGATGGTATTTATTCAGCACTGTTCCCATGATAGGCATAAGCTCTTTAAATGTTCTATCTCATTTAATTCCCATGAAAATGTTACAGCACCAGTAACGAGATGAGGAGTGATATTTAATAGCCTCCTTTTTCCTGGTGACCTTTCCTTAATGCCATTCTGCTATCAAAACAATTGCCTTTTTTTTTTTTTTTAAGATTTATTTTAGGGGAGCCTGGGTGGCTTAGTTGGTTCAGCATCTGCCCTTGGCTCAGGTCACGGTCTCACAGTCCTGGAATTGAGCTCCACGACTCCTGGCTCAGTGGGGAGCCTGCTTCTCCCTCTCCCTCGGCCCCTCCCCCACTCTGCTCCAGTGCTCTAATAAACAAATAATAACAAACAAATAAAATAAAAATCTAATAAACAAATAAAATTAAAAAAAGAAAAAAGATTTATTTTGCGAGAGGGGAGGGGCAGAGGAAGAGATTTGTTTTTTGTTAAAGATTTTATTTACTTATTTGAGAGAAAGAGGGGGCATGAGCAGGGGGAAGGGCAGAGGGAGAAGCAGACTCCCCATTGATCTAATAAGGGACTAGATCTCAGAACCTTGGGATCACACCCCGAGCGGAAGGCAGACGTTTACCAACTGAGCCACCCAGGCACCCGAGAGTCTTTTTTTTTTCTTTTAATGATTTATTTATTTATTTGAGAAAGAGAGAGAAAGCACATATGAGTGGGGGAGGGCCAGAGGGGGAGACAGAGAGAATTCCAACCAGGCTCTGTGCTGAGCCCATGGTCCGGGGTCGGGCTCGATCTCACCACCTGGAGATCACGACCTGAGCCAAAATCCAGAGTTGGCTGCTTAACTGACTGTGACACCCAGGCACCCCAAAACAAATCCTTGTTAACGATGAACATTTTGAGTTGCTTTTATAGTAAGAAAAAAAAGTGTTTTGAAAAATTTAAAGGACCGCCCAAAATAACCATTACCTCTTTTTTTTTTTTTTTAAGGTTTTATTTACTTATTTGACAGAGAGAGAACACAAGCAAGGGGAGTGGGAGAGGGAGAAGAAGGCTTCCCACCAAGCAGGGAGCCTGATGGCGGAACTTGATCCTAGGACCCTGGAATCATGACCTGAGCCGAGGGCAGACACTTAACAACTGAGCCATCCAAGTGCCTAACAGTCACCCCATCTTGTCCTTCCCAAACAACTTAGTGTTCTACAGGATTTGACCTAGAGTCACCAATTCCAGCTCCAACCCCCCCCTTCTGCCCAGCCCCCCAACCCCATCACACGCCTCTGTGCTTGATTTCACTGACTCTGGGTAAACAGAGCCTACACCTGTTCCCAGTGTGTCCTGCTCCTCGTCAGTCTGCCCTACATCTTTCCTGCTTCCCCGGGGACCACCGATCTGGATGCCAGTGAATTTGGATCAACTTATTTCTGTCTTTGAGGGAGCCAGTTACGGAGGAAGGGCTGCAAAGCCCCAGGGCCTGGGTGGTGACATACTTACAACTCTGAAGCCATTGAAGAAAGATAACAGTCTCTTCAGGGTAGAATAGAGTGTGCATTTCATCCATGTTGGCCAGACTGGGGGTTCCGGACGTTCACGTCAGCATCTTCCTGAATAAATCTCAGGGCTCCTGTTTCCCCTGATGGTATAGGTCTAGGACCAGGGGCACCAAGGCTGACTTGTCCCTCTCTCTTCTGGCTGTCCGATCGTCTGCCAGCGAGGCGCCCCAGCAGCCACCCCTCTGCAGTCATAAGCCTCTATCACGTCACAATTGGATGCCAGAGTGAGGCTCCCAGTGCCCAGGAAGCAGGTACCCTGAGTTACCCCTGCCGGTTCCTCATCCTCCAAACAGGCTGCACCAGGGGTGGAGAAAAGGCATGATGGGCTGCCCTGGTACCCCCTAGATGCCACTTGGGCCCTGTGGGCATAGCGTTCAGCACTGACCACTCTTGTGGGTAATGCCCCCACTAGACTGGGGGCTCCAAGTGGACAGGGTCCTGAGCTCTGCCCTAGTCACGGTTGTGTTCCCAAAGCTTGGCACACAGTAGTTGCTCGAGAAACCAATATGGAATGAATGAATGAAGGAGCTCCAGGAAGCAGAATCTGGCTAAAAGCCATCAGGTCCCCCAAGCTTCTGCCTCCGCATTCGCTCACCTGACTCATCCTCACCCTTCTCACGGGGCTCAGAGGACAAGGTAACTGCTCAGGGCGACCCAGGGATCAAGGTCAAGGCTGGGCTTTGAAACTCCAAGAGAGACATGAAGGTGGGAACATCTGACAGCGCTCCACCCTCCCCACTCCAGCCCCTCTCCCCACTCCCCGCCAAAACCTTTTCTTTCTCCCTCTGCTCAGCCACAGCAGGTGAAGAAAATTTCCTTGAGCCCAAGTGCCATTGATCAGCGGGCCCTGATGAGACGTGCGTAGCAGGCATTTCAGAGGAAAAATTGTGCATGTAGGCATCGAGACACCCCCCCCCGCACACACATTTGAATTAATTTAACGAATGTTTGTCAAATTATCTGCTTCTTGGAATATGTGGAACTAAAAATTTGCACGTAGGAGTGACCATCTACTCCCCGACTGCGGGTCACGTTCCCATCTAGGAGGGTGTCCTTTCACGACTTTCTCTAAAAGGTCACTGAAATAAAGAGCCCAAGAGCCAGGTGCAGAGGGCCCGAAAATGAGGATGCACAGGAGGGTGAGAAAAATGGAGGCGCAAGGGAGTATGGGAAAATGCAGGGATGCAAATGAGGGCTTGAAAATGTGGGCAAAAGTGGACAGGAAAGGGTTGGTGCTCAAAGAGGGCGGGAAAATGAAGGATAAATAAGGGCGGGGAGGGGGCACCTGGGTGGCTTAGTGGGCTAAAGCCTCTGCCTTCGGCTCAGGTCCTGATCCCAGGGTACTAGGATCGAGCCCCACATCGGGTTCTCTGCTTGGCAGGGAGCCTGCTTCCTCCTCTCTCTCTGCCTGCCTCTCTGCCTACTTGTGATCTCTGTCTGACAAATAAATAAATAAATAAAAGTAATAATTAAAAAAAAAAAAAAAAAAAAAAAGGACGGGGAGGATGGGAGGCCCACTGGAGGCTGAAGGAGAGCTGACCCTGCCAAGGCCAGAGGAATACAGGACCCTTAGATGGAGGAGTGAGGTACCTCCCCCAAGCCCCGCCCCCGCGGCAGCCCCACGTGGAAGCCCCGCCCCCGCCCCGCCCCTCCTCGGCTTACGAGCAAAGAACAGGCCTGCGTCTCGGCCTCTCGCGCCCCCTGGCGGCCATCAGCGGAAAGCGCGGCCGTACATGGGCCCCTACTAGAGTCTCCCAGCCAAGCCACCGCTAAGTGCGCCTTGGTGCCCCAGACCCACCCGGGTCAGCGGGATGAAATGGAGTGTGTCTGTGACGCACCCTGCAAGTCCCCCTAACCCACACCAACTGAATTGGTGCGAAGAAACGGAATTGTGCAGGCATCTGGCGAATTACAAATTGTGCAAGCATCTGGCGAATTGTAAAATGTCAGATGCTTGGCAAAAAAAAAAAACAGAGAAAATTAGTGCAATCTATCAGTGATAGTTCAGAGGTTCTAGAAAACCGTGAAAAGCTTCTCTTGAAGGGAAGCTACAGAGCCTTTAGGAAAACATTTAAACATTATTGTAGAAATAGAACTACTCCAATATTTGCTTAATAATAGAGCTTAAGGTGTGTTAAGATAGTCCTAATTCGTTTCTCCCCCACCTGGTCTCCTTCGTTATATTTTAGGAGATTTTTTTTTTTTAAGATTTTATGTATTTAGGGGCGCCTGGGTGGCTCAGTGGGTTAAGCCTCTGCCTTCAGCTCAGGTCATGATCTCAGGGTCCTGGGATCGAGTCCCGCATCGGGCTCTCTGCTCAGCAGAGAACCTGCTTCCTCCTCTATCTCTCTCTGCCTGCCTCTCTGTCTACTTGTGATCTCTCTCTCTGTGAAATAAATAAATAAAATCTTTTAAAAAAAAAAAGATTTTATGTATTTATTTGAGGGAGAGGGCAAGAGCATGAGTTGGGGGAGTGGCAGAGGGAGAGGGAAAAGTTGACTCCCCACTGAGCAGGGAGCCCAATGCAGAGCTCCATCGCAAGTCCCTGAGATGATGACCTGAGCCAAAGGCAGATGCTTAACCAACTGAGCCACCTAAGGTGTCCCTAGGAAATGTTTTTCAAAAACACCGTAACCAAGAAAGTCAAGCATCTTAAATACACAATACACACACGTTGGTGCCCTGCCCTCCCTCCCTCCCATTTCCATAATGGGAAATGCTGCCATTATGTTGAGCCCACCAACAGGAGCCTCCGGGGATAGGTTCACCTGGTTGATTGTTCATGTAAAATCAACAGCATTGATATATTTGTGCATTTAGGTCCTACAAAACCTGGATCCGACCCTCACAAGGGGCCATTTTATGGCTTAAGTTATTTTAGTCATAATCACTGGGGGCAGAGGTGAGAAGTCAGAAAATACTACCCAGCAGAAAAGTCTGGAAAGAAAGCAGGAAAGAAAAGTCGGTTTTTTCTGAGGTCTCTCTCCTTGGCTTGCTGATGGACATCTTTTCTATGGTCTTCACGTGGTCTTCCCTCCGGGAGAATCTGTCTCTTAATATTCGTCTTTAAAAAAAAAAAAAAAAAAGACTTGGAGGTTATATGCTATGGTGAGTGCTGTGAAGTGTGTAAACCTGGCGATTCACAGACCTGTACCCCTGGGCCTAATAATACATTATATGTTAATAAAAAATTTTTTAAAAAAGAAAAAAAAATTTTATTTATTTATTTGAGGGAGAACATAGGCAGGGGGAGGAGCAGAGGGACCAGCAAACTCCCCGCTGAGCGGAGAACAGGACTTGGGGCTTGGACACCTCAGGACTCTGAGATTATGACCTGTACCAAAGTCAGACACCTAATAGCCTGAGCCACCCAGGCAGCCTCTTAATCCTTCCTATGAGGACACCAGTCATATTGGATCAGGTTCCATCCATAGGAACATCGTTTTACCTTCATTTATCAATACTGGTCCATCGGTTGTAAGTAACTGATCACTAATGCAAGACTTTAATAACAGGGCAAGCTGCAGGTTGGGGAGAGGGGAGACACGTAGTAACTCTCTGTGCTTTACATTCAATTAGTATTCAAGCCTAAAACTTTAAAAAAGTAAACTCTATTAATTAAAAAAAGAAGAAGAAGGGGTGCCTGCGTAGCTCAGTCAAGCATCTCACTTGTGATTTTGGCTCCATTCATGATCTCATGGGTCGTGAGATCGAGCCCTGTGCCTGGTTGCGTGTTCAGCAGGGGGTCTGACTGGGATTCTTTCTCTCCTTCTCCCTCTGCTCCTCCCCCGACAAATAAATAATTTTTTTTTAAAGAAAACACTGGTGGTGGCATTTGTTTTTTGCTCCAAACTCATTTGCGTAATTTGACTTTTTTTAAAAGTCTTTTTTAAAATGAGGAAATGGAACACAAATGCAGAAAACTCCATAAAACACATATGCCTTCTAAATGGGACAAGTGAATCATGACAAAGCAGACAACATTGCAAGCATGTTTTGTAACTTTGTGTAAAAAATATAGTACAGTAGGAATGATTTTTTATAACTTGCTGGGAAGGCAGTGTGGTATGTTCCTCTGCTCTGTGGGGAGCCTGCTTCCCCCTCTCCCTCTACCTGCCTCTCTGCCTACTTGTGATCTCTGTCTGTCAAATAAACAAATAAAATCTTAAAAAAAAAAAAGAAAGAAAATGGAAATCTTGGGGCACCTGAATGACTCAGTCGGTTAAGCATCTGACTCTTGATTTCAGCTCAGATCAGGTATCAGGGTCATGAGTTGGAGCCCCGTGTTGGGCTCCGTGCTCAGTCGAGTCTGCGTGAGATCCTCTCCTTCCGCTCTCCCCCATCATGATCTCAGGGTCCTGGGATCCAGCCCCATGTGGGGCTCTACGCTCAGCAGGGAGTCTGCTTCTCCCTCTTCCTCTGCCCCTCCCCTCACTGGTGCTCAACGCTCTCCCTCAAATAAATAAATAAAATCTCTAAGAAAGAACATGGAAATCTCTTCTCTGCTAGTTATTCACTGGGGGCCCAGGGTTGTTTTGAGATAAATGAAATCATAAATCCCCATTTTACAGATGGATAAACTGAGGTATGAAAGTCTAAACACCTTGGTTTTGTCACATATAGAAAGTGGTGAAAGTCAGATTTTGATCCCAGGGTCTCAATCTTAACCACGACATAGACCTTTTGGTGGTTGCAGGACCCCTGTCCAGCTCTCTGCCCATGAGGATATACACATTCTTTCTTACGTTAAAATGTAGAATCTATCATAGCTTGGAAGTTCAATGGTGTGGAAAAACTATCCCAACACAGCAGATTCCAAAGTTGGGTTTTCAGAACAATCATAACTTTTTAAAAAATTTTTTAAAATTTTATTTATTTATTTGATAGAGAGATCACAAGTAAGATGAGAGGCAGGCAGAGAGAGAGGGGGAAGCAGGCTTCCCGCTGAGCAGAGAGCCCGATGCAGGGCCCAATCCCAGGACCCTGAGAACATGACCCGAGCAGAAGGCAGAGGCTTAACCCACTGAGCCACCCAGGCACCCCCCCCAATCATAACTTTTGAAAAGAGCAGAGCAGATACCTGTTCTGTAGAGAAAAACGACCAGAATGAAAGCCACAAAAGCATCAGCGTTGGTGAGTG